AGTAGTCACTTGCGGAAGGGAAGGCAGGACAGTGGTGCTATCCACTACAAGGTTACGTCCGTCCCACGATGACAGCTCAGAGTTACGTGAGCTCTGCTGCTCCCCTTCAGCTGAGAGGGCGAGCTGGGAGTTGAGGGTGCAGGGAAGTGAGGGGCTCATTTGTGTCACTTTGCAGAACGGTCTGGGCCAAAAGCTGCCCGCAGACTACTCTTCCATGTCGTGGAGATTTCCATTGCTTGAACCCTGTGAGAGCATCTTTCTTGAGATGATTAGAATTGATATTTTCCTTCTTTAAGTTTGGAGTCCCAGGAAATGGTATTTTAATATCTGTGTTGGGTTTGGCAGATTATAGAAATCCATGTTGTCTCTTGGGGTTGGGAACGCTACTCCTCCCTCCTACATAACGTCGCATAATTATAGAGATGTTCAGAGCCAGAAAGAAAAGAGGAGAAAAAGGAACAAAGACAGGCCTCCCCAAGAGGCCTCAGGGCAGGGGAGCCTATTTTGAATCACTGCTGGGAATAACCAGCCCCTCCCCCCCAGCACACGTGTGGGGTGGGGTGAGTGGGAGACTTGACATGCCCCCAGAACCCTTTTCTCTCTATTCCTTGCAAGGGCTGTGGATTAATAAAAGGAAAGCATAAAATGCTGGTCTCCTTCCATCCTAAATACAAGTCAATGGCACCCATCGCCAACGTCAATGGTTCATCTTGCTACCGCTCAGCCAGGGACCTCATTCAGAGATCAACGCCTTCCTCAGTTTCAGAGCCATCTCAAATCCACTCAGTTCAGTATACACTTAACCACAGAGGGGGTTTTTAACTCCCTCACCTTTCACTAGTCCTTGACCCATTAGTCCGACCTTTGTAAGTGCCTGATAGATGCAGAGCCCCATGCTTACATAAAGTCTGCCTGTGTGGAGTGGAACTCTAGAGGTGGCCTTCAGCACTCCTTAGCTTTCATCTTTCATGTGTGTGTATGTGTGTGTGTGTGTGTGTGTGTGTGTGTGTGTATGTGTGTGTGTTTTAGGCACAAGTCTGCCAAAAATAATCTTTATTCATTTTAACATTAATCCATCCGAACCATTTCTAGCTTGGAGAGATGTCTAAACTGGCGTCTCTTCCCCACACTGTCTGATAAGACTGCGCTGCTAAACGACTTAGGTAACACTTTGAGTAGTCTTTGTTTGTTTGTTTTCAGCTTTCATCCTCCTGAGTGACTTCAGCAAGGGACTCAGGTACTCCCAGGGCGCTTCCATCTAGAAGCAGGAGGGCTGCACCTCTAAGTCATGGCTACGGGGGCCCACTCACTCTTGGAGCCTCCCAACTCTGATCTAGAACAAAGGCTCTCGGTATGACTTTCCCAAGCTTGCCTTCCATTGAAACACATTCATTTCTGAGTCCAGACACTCTAGCTAACCTTTTGGAGTTCTGTCATGACCCGAAATTGTGCGTGGTCCCAAAGGTAACAGAAGAGGAGAACTGAGATGCGGACAGTCTCTTAGAGACCCTCCCTTTGTGTCAGTGAGGAAGCTGCCACGGAGCATGGGTGACCTTCCTCCCTGAGGCTCTGCCTTTTGTGAGGGAAGTGCGGCAGGGCACCTGCAGGATGTGGATGCCCAAATAGAAACAGCTGCCTCTGGCACTTCTTGCCTCTCTCCCCTGAGCTTGCTACAGTTCAAGAAGTCCTGGTCATGTGACCTTGCCATAATGGAGTCACTCCTCCCCAGGGATGGACAGGCATTGCCTACTGCTTTTCTCTTGGCATATGATCAATAAAGACAATCAAACCATACGAAACAGCAATAAACAATAAATATTTAAACATCAGCCTGTCCCAGACTCCTTCAGTCCACAGACCAAAGATGATCAGTTTTGAACCCAGGAATTCTAGGAAAGATACAGTTTGAGCTTATTCAGATCCCCATGGCCATGCCACCATTGAAGTGAAAACAATGGTATTAATTAAAGGTGGCAATGCAATGATAGCCAAGAATTTTCTCTCTCCTCCCTCTCTTCCTGACTCTCAATGCCTCTGAAATGTGCACAGATGAAATATAAGGATATGAGGTTACATAGAAAGGGCCAGAGCAGCAGTTCTCAAAGTGTGCTCTGGGGATCCCTGAGACCTTTTTGGGAGGTCTATGGGGCCAAAACAGTTTTCATAATAATCCTAAGTGGTTTTAATGTCTAATGTGGTAATTATCAATAGGTACAGCCTAAATAAACAAAAGCTCAATATTTTTTAAGAATGTAGATGAGTCCTGTGACTTAAAAGTTTCACAAGTGTTGGGTTCAGGAAATGCTTCCATCACCTGACTTTGCTAGTGTAGCACAGACCCTCTAGAAGGCAAATGGAGCAGTGGATGGAGCCCAGTGTGTGGAGCTCAACATCTTGAGTTGGGGTCCCGCCGAGGCCTCTTGCAACGTTGTGCGGGCTGGCAGCTCACCTAACCTCTCTGGGCCTCAGTAAAGCCAGGAGCTTGGACCAGATGACCTGGGAGGTCCCTTTTGTCTCTAAAGCTGTCATTCTGGTACTGTCTATAAGAGCATTTCTCAAGCCTCCCTGAGCATCTTGGATCTCCTCAGTTCTAAACGCTTTGAAGATCTGATCCTCTTCTGGTATTGACTACCATGGATCAACAGATTCAGGGATCACAGAACTGCAGAGTGGGAAGGCTGCTGCTCCCCACTTCAATGTCCTCACAAATGGCTGAAGAATCCTTCTGCCTGTAGAACCCCAGAGCTTCTAAGGTGGCCTGTGCCACCACTGCGCTGCTCTGATTGGTTTGGAGCCCAAATCTGCCACACTGCAATTTCCACTCATTCTTTCCGAGGGTTCTCCAGGAGCTAGCAGGAAGGTCTAAGACTTCTTCCACATGGGGAGCCTTCAGCTATTTGAAGGCAGCTGTCTGTATCCCCTAGACTGATTACGATCCATCTCTTCAATCTTCAGGCAAGCCTTGCTTCTGAGTGACCATCCTGATCGCTGTCCTCTCTGCTGCGTCCTCCAGCCATGGTCTGACTACAGACTCAAGCATCTCTTGTTCAGGGCACTGGGCTGCTTTCTAGGCAGTGTAGGCTTGTATCACCTGTTTTGGGCTGCCATGTTACCTGGGGAAGCCCAGTGGGTTCTGTATTCCCAAGGCTGGAGGGAGATCCAGATAGTCATTTTCCCACATCCTCAAGGCTGAGCTGTTCCTTGTCTCCTCTGCCCTCTGGGGTCATATAGAGAAGAGGAGGAAAAGAAGGGTGATTCTCCCACTGTACCTCCTCAGGGACCCCATTTCTCCCCTCCAAAGATTCCAGATGCAGGTGTGTGGGTTCGGGGAAGTGATCGAGTGTGTGACCCACCTAGATGGCCCTGTGGGACTTATTCCCATTCATCCCAAGTTATGTTAGAAACAGACAAGCTCTTTACCTCACTCTTCCAGGTGCTTCATACCCCATTTCTCCTTTACCGCATGGGAAATGCCCCCTCATGCCCCTTTGGAGCAGCACCTTTCCCTCTTGCCCCTCAAGCTTGAACAACATTCCCATGCAGCTGTGGGCAAAGAGCCAAACTCTTCTGCCCTCTTTTCTCACTACTGTTATAGAAGCCCAAATAATGACTTCAGTGACAGGTTTTTAATAGAAAATGTGTGAAAGCCACGATGATCTATTTATTCATTGTTACAAAGTATAGGTGAAAAATGAGCCACGTCCCCAGATGAATCCCACATGAATCGCTTCACCTGCACACTCTGCTCCAGACTGGTTGTGATTATTGAAAATTCTCTCATTGTAATTCGAGTAATTAATCCCCCACGTCATTTGCTTTATAAGCTTTTGACTTTTCAAAGCTAACTTCACGAAGAGACCCTTTCGCCTCTTTATTTGTGCATTTGTGTGGAACTGGGGAGTTTGCAAAATGGAAAACTCTCCCTCTAATGACTTGTGGGATTCCAAAGCTCCTTGTAAATGACACTGGCTCCCTGTTTTCTGGTTACACAGCTCGGCCAGTGGGGGAGCTGCTTCTAGCTGCTGGGTTTGGGGGAATTTTCCCCCATGTGCTCTTGTCTTCACTCTTGGTGCTTTCAGGTACAGGGGAGAAGGGGCACCTGAAAGCCAGCTGGTCTCTCTAGCCGGGACAGAGACTGCTTCTCTGGCCATGTGCAGCCAGGAGGGGCCTTCCTTAGAATCAGGAGATCAATATTGTAAATTCACTAAAATTCAGAATCACTAAATCAGATAGACGCCCTCAACATACTCAAAATTATTTAAAGACCTGTGTTCTTCATTCGTGTAAAATGACAAGACTCTCTGAATTCTGCATCTCTCTTCAGTGAATCTTTTTCTTGGAATCCCTTGGAAGGGACTTGAGTAGCTTCCTAGGCCAAATCCTACCCAAAGCACAAGACAATTCCAATGAGGATCAGGCCCCTTGGGGGGGGGGGCAAGTGCTGCCCTCCATGGCCTGGGGCCAGAAGGACAAGGATGAAGTCTTTCCTGCCCTCAAGGAGTTTCCTCATCCAGCCCCTGCTTGAGTTCCCCCCCCTCTTTCCCCAGGCAGCCCCCTTCCACGTGGGAACAGCTCTCACCATTGGAAAGTTTTCCTGACACTGAACCTAAAATCTCTCCGCCTCACCCCTTCTGCCCTTCGGGGCCAAGCAGGAGAAAGCTAATCCCTCCTTCCCACAGCATCACTGCAGACAGCTGATCCCAGCTGTCATGCATCCCCCACCCAGTCCCCTCCTCCTCAGATTTTATAAGCATCCAGCCAACCCTGTAGGGCAGGCCTGAGCTGTCCCTCTCCACCCTGGGCTTCAGCTCTCCAAGGTCCTTCCTAGAATGGTTCCTGGTATCCCCTTCCCTTTGTGGTCTTACTGAGGAGAGGAGACAAGGACAGAAGAGGAGGAAAAGAAGGATGAATCTGCCACAGTGACCTCCTGCTCCCCCCTTCCATCCCCTCACCCCCTGGCCAGCTTGCCAGCCGCCTCCCCAAACCTGGAAAGTACTCACTTGAAATAAAACAAGATTCCAAGGGAGCCAAGGAGAGAGGCGATTGACAGGGCATGTCCCACAATGGCCATGTAATAGAGGATGTACGCCGCCTGAAAGAGAAGGGAGCAGTCACTAATGCCTGTCCAACCCGCCAGCCCAGCGAAGGGCCTTACCCTTTGAAGGGCAGCCCTGACCCCAGCCCTTCCTAGGGAGGCTTTGTGGGCTACCACCACTCAGTCCCTCTATGGCCAGAGAAAAACTGGCCTCCCTCGTGACTCCCTGCGGGGCATGGCCCCTCTGAGGCTGCCTGGGGAAAGGGGTTGGAGGTGTGGGGGTGGGGAGTAGCTCACTTTCTAAAGAGTCTGCAAAAGCTATTTCGACTTTCACATTACCCCCGCCCCAGCAGGGCATGCTTGGATTGCAGAGAATGATCTGGCGCTGGCAGACCACTTTGCCTCTGTCTTGACATCTTGCCAAGGTCCTGCCTGGGAGCAGAAGGGAGGCATGAAGGAGCCTTGGCTGTGGCCACAGGCTTCTGTGCCCTTGCTGAGCCTGTGAATTAGCTGGCTGTCACGCTCAAGAGCTGTGGAGCTCTGGGGGAAGTGGGCTTCTCAGCTCAGCTGTTCTTCATTAAGTCTGGTTCTGTTCCACCAGAGGCCTCGATTTATTTCTTCCTGCATACTTGGTTGTGAGAGGGCTTAAAAGCCTGTCTGGTTTCTTCCTCCCCCCACCCCGACTACTCCTCCATGGCACCTTCTAGGGTCACAGCTGCTACAGGAGCCAAGCGGATCACCCACCCTGCTTTGGCACCAGCGCCTGGAGAAGGGGGCACTTCCTTCTGGGGCTCAATGGTCCACCATCAGCATCTGCAGCTCCCTTAAGGCAGGCCACTACTCTCTGCCTTCCACTGGCTTAGAGCCAACCTTGATGTATTGGGAAGAAAACATGTCTCCCTGGCAGGTTACTGGGTAAGACCCTTTTTCCCCTCTCCGGACCTCAGCTTCACCCCCTGTGAAATGAAGGGACTAGCCTGGGAAACCCTGGATGGCTCCTGAAGACTCCAGATCTGTGGTCCCTTGTCCACCTTCCTGTCTGGACTTTCACTGGAAAGAATGAACAGTGATACTGGTCCCAGAAGAACAGTTCGCCTGCATGTGGCTAAGCCCCAGCTTTGCCGGGACATTCATCTTCACCAACTGGAGCCGCTTTTCAAAGTTAGCAATGGGCTGATGGACAGGGCAGGAATCTGTTCTTCGAATCTTGTGACTTGGGGTTGGACAAAACTTCTGGGAGCAGCTTGGTGAAAGTCACCTGAGGCCCTGGCCAGCACCACTGGTCCCATGTCCCCACCTGCTGGCCTCCTTCTCCAGGCCTTCCTGGATGGCGCTGCATCTCATTCCCGCTGGGCCTCCCCAGGTCATCAGCAGCTCAAAGTGCTCATAGAACACAGCAGCATAGTAGGAGTAAAGGCAGGGAGGGGAATAAACAGACAAGCGTGACTGCAGGGGACAATGACAGCTGTTCAGACCCTGATTGACCTGAGGGATGTGAGGGAAGCCAAGGTCAACAGGAAGGTGGGGCAGGGGAGGCTCCTTGGGCTTGACTGGGCAATGGCTAGGGAGGGTGGGGGAGAGGCAGAGCCGCTTACTGGTTTCTATTTTTTCTCCCAAGGAGACTGATGTTTGGTCCAGGGAAGACTGAACTAAAAGCCTTAACAGGGAGTTGCTAGCCAAGATAAAAGGGGAAAGCAAAGAAGAGCCCTGAATTCTCTTTGTGAGATCAAGTCACGTGACCCAGACACATTAATGCCATCTTTGAGTCCTGAAAGAACTGGCAGATATGATTGCTTCGAGCTTTAAATGGTAGGGCTGGTTCAGAAAATAAGGCCCCAATTTTCAAGCCAGAATGAAAGAGAGAGAGAGAGAGAGAACAGAATCTCCAAATTATGGGCCAGTGAGTTTGACTTTCATTCTTGGGCAAATTCCTGAGCAGATTATTAATGGTGAACTCCAGCAAAAGAAAGCAGTGACTCCAAAGAACCACAGTGGCTTCATCCAGAGCAGGGCATGGCACACTCAACTGTTTTCCCTTCTTCATGGTAGACAGGTAGATGAGGGGGATGCTTTAGGAAAGAATTATTCTAGTCTAGGCAAGACATTTTACAAAATATTTTATGCTATTTTTGGGAAAAGATAGAGAAGTGCAGGCTAGATTCAGTTGGGTAGACTGGAACTGACTGGCTGAGTCTAAAGCATGGTCTTTAATGATTTGACTTGTGGGCGGTGTAATGTCCAAGGACTCAATAGTCTTCTCAGTGACTTATAAGAAGACAGAGAGGTCGTGCTTATCAACCTCCCTCATTTGATCTGCCCATCCCAGCTAGGTACAGTCCCGGATCTCTCCTTTTCATGGCTAAGCTCCATGAGAAGGCTGTCTCCCCTGAGAGTCTCCACTCCCTCTCCTCACTGTCTTCTAAGACCTCTGCCTTCTGGCTCATGACCGCGTCACATAGCTGAACCTATCCTCTCCAAAGTTACTGATGACCTCTTCATGGTCAAACCTGATGGCCTCTTCTCAGTCCTCATCCTTTTTGACCTCTCGGCAGCCTCTGACGTAGTCGGTTGCTCTCTTCTCCTGGTCCTGTCTCCTCTCTCTCCTCCTCCCTGCCTGACTGCTCCTTATTCTCCTTGGCTGGATCTTCCTTCAGGGTGTGGCCACTAACCATGAGTGTCTCTCAGGCCTCGGTCCTGGGCCTCTTGAGTCTTGCATCACTAACTGCCTATTGGATTTCTTGAGCTAGATGTCCTATCTCAAACTCAACGTATCCAAAACAGAATTCACCTTCCCTCTGAAATTTCCATTTCCCTTCTTCCCAGATTTGCTATTACTAGCAAGGGTACCACCATCTTTCCTATCACCCAGGCTTGCCACCCAGGTATCAACCTCACACCACATATCCAATATTTCTGCTTTCACTATGCCTCTTGTGTTCACCCCCTTGTCTCCTCTGGCACTGTCGTGATTCTGGCACAGGCCCCTGTCACCTCCTATCTGGACTATGGTAATGACCTCTAGTTGGTCTCTCACTCCAGGCAACGCTCTGTCTGTCTGCCAAAGTGATGTCCTGAGGTGCGGGTCTGATCGTGCTCCACCCCACCCTAGCCTTGCCCGCTCAATAAACCTCATTGGTCCCTGTCACATTGAGGACCCAAAATAGGCTTATCTTTAACTTTTCAAGCCCTTCACAACCCGTCCTCTCACACCTTACTCTCCTCCACATATTCTGTGATACAATGGCACCAGCGTCATCACCGCTCCTGCCCCACAACCCTCTACATCCTGATTCTACGCTGCCTTTGGCTGTCCTCAAGCTTGGCACACTCTTACTGCTCCATATCCTGGCTTCTCTGGTTTCCTTTAAGCTCATCTCAGATCTTGCCTTCTTCAGGAAAGGCTTTTTCTTAGTCTCCCTTAATGCACATACGTTCCTGAGGCTGTCTCCCATTCACTCTGCATACATCTCGCTGGTCCATAATTGTTCGCAGGTCGTCTCCCCCATCTGAATGTGTGAGGCCCTTGAGTCCCTTGAGGGACCATATTTTGACTTTTCTTTGTATTTTTGCCACTTAGCCTGGTGCCTGTTCACATACTGGTGACTGAGATTCTTCTGATCCCTTGGAGGACGGCAATCCTTCCATAAAAGGCACCCTCGTTGGAGAGGAGAATGTCACTTTACCGCGGTCCTGCTCTGGAGTGTGCCTGGTTGGTCAGTGGGACCATTATTGCCTTTGCACAGTTTGGGACCTCAAATGGCCAGGAATTCCCTGCCTTTTGGTGCAATCCGGGTCAAGCATGCCAGAGGCACCAGGGGTCTGTGCTCTTGTCCTATTAAGAGATAATTGGGTCATATCGCTGTTTGGGGACTCTCTTCACTGGTAGGTCCACTGCCATGGGAATAATTGGTTTTTATCTGAAGATGACAAAGTTTCAAAATTGGTAATATATTTTCTCTAATAATGAATAATAAATTTCTCTAACAAATTCTAATAATATATTAGTAGAAGCCATTAACAAATATATTTTAAAAACAAACCTGTGCAGTCCCATCTTCTTCCTTGAGGACTCAGATTTATAGCACATTTTCCTCTGCAGCTCTTGGAACCCCAAATATCCGTGAGAAGCAGGGCTTTTTCACAGGTCAGTTCTCAGATTAGTATACTGAGTACATTTCTCACCAAGGGAAGGTATTTGGGCCCATGCAATCATCCACTTGTCAAGATGCTTCTCCTGGTGTCTGTTCTCTCTCAGCTGGGGCCCCGCTTCACATTCCTCCCTCAATCTTTGCAGTCAAATCACCAGGAATCAGTGTCCAAGTTGGGTGGGAGTGGGGCCTGCCTCCTCTTTGTCCCTCTCCTGAGGCCGTCTTGTCTATTCTCTCTCAGCTGGGATCCCATTTTATGCTCCTTCCTCTTGGAAGTGCAGTTTGAGTGGAGATGGGGATCAGAGATATTCTGGCTGACCTGTCTTCAGCCTTCTTCTAAGACAGTGTTGGCTTTGATTTTTGCTCTAAGTTGCTGACGTAGGGCTATGGCTGGACAGCTCATTCCCTGACTGCCCCCCTATCAATCGCTAGTCACTTCTGATCAGTTCAGATAGCACTGATTTCATTTCTGTGAAGGACGACCTTGGATGTTTGCCATGCCCAGTGCTGTCTACGTCTTCTCTGGAAGCAAACCTTCATGAAGTTACAAACACGAGACTTCTGAGGCATCCACAGCTCTGGCGCCTCTTTAGTGTCTTCATTCTAAATCATGTCCCTCAGCCCACTGGGTCCATGTCCCTCAGCCCACTGGGTCC